ATACTCCCTATCTCTGCTCATTGCACAAATGAGATTTGACTTACATATTCCTTATCGGGTTGTGCCGTTATCAGGGGGAGATTGTGCGAAGTATGATAGTAAAGGTGTTCTCCTTTCCTGTCTAAATGGTCCAGTGCGGCATGACTCTGCAGTGGCAGGAGGGTGGTGGAGAGGGGGGGTTGGGCTTACTGCTTGGCATCCGTTCAACAGACACAACTAGCGTGTCCTTCAGATGCACTTCAGTGTCCAGACTGAATGAATGCTTAACCTCTGCTGGAGGTAGGAGGCAGAGAAGCGTGGCCCCGGGCCTCTAATCACATTGCAGCCTGTCCAGGAGGAAAGATTTGACTTTAACTCTTCCTGTGCTGCCTTCAGTCCATTACCCGCCAACCGACGGTAAAAGGATATTGGCTCAAATAGTTTTTCCCTTTTTATGCAGCGTCGCATCGCTTTCTTTAATAAAGCGGATTTAGGTAGAGTAAAAAAGGCGAAATAATGTGCCCCCTGCAAAATAGATACTTTGAGGACCCTGCTGCTGCCCACCCCTCCTGGCATTGCAGAGAAATGGCCGCTTGAGAATTCCAAATCTTCCCGGATTGTCGTTCTCCTGCTCCCTGCTGTGCGCGGTGGTTCATCTAGCCGGCCCCTGTGTCTCTACTGTGTCCTGTAGTGATGTAGGAGCTGGTGGGGCAAACCACTAAGTGGAGCGGGGGGACCAGGAATCGATCACTCCTGGTACTGTCAGATTGTGAAGATTCTTCAAGCAGTGGGTGCTGTGTGGTGGTGGGATAGGTAAATATGAATTATCTCCATTGCACGGTACTAAAATACCACGCTGTGTTCTGCGCTGCGTCTCAATATGGCGGCCGCTATCTTGGTAGAGACAGGGCTTTGCTTCCTCATGTCAGAGCCTCCAGCAAGGAGAACATTGACCAGCACAGCAGTGGCACCACCACATCTTCTGTCATTAGCAGTCAGAGGCAGCAATAGCGTAGATCTCACACTGCAGATATTACAGCTATAGGCACAGGAGTGTCTAGGCCAGGGGTAGGGCAAACTCCGGCCCTCCAGCTGTGGTGGAACTACAAATCCCATGAGGGCAAGATTCTCACAGGTACGGCTCCCAGAGACAGATGCATGACGGGATTTGTAGTTTCACCACGAACCACAGCTGCCCACCCCTGGTCTAGGCACACTTGCATAACAGGAAGTGCACGGCTGTTTTTCAATAGTCGTACCTGGCAAAAGGTAGGGGGTATTTGTGTGTGTGTGTGTGTGTGTGTGTTAGGCTAACGATATACACCGTATTATACACCGTATTTTTCACTCCATAAGACGCACTTTTTTCCCCCAAAAGGAAATGTGTGTGCGTTTTATGGAGCGAATCCCTAGACATGCAGTTAGTTTTGGGCACCGGGCGAGTAGTTTTTTTTTGTACATTTAGCCCTGCTAAAGCAGAGCTAAATGTACAGTAGGAGTCACTGCTCGTTTCATACGAGTGATCTAATAAGATCACTCGTGTTAAAACTGAGCGGCGATCGCGATCACCATAGAGCCCCTAGAACAGACTAAGAACGGACGTCGGTTCTGTGTGATCACTGAGAACGTGGCGCTGTAATCACAGCGCCACCTGTCTCAGCCGTCGCTAACTGCAGCTTCTGTCACAGAAGCTCCGGTCTGTTCAGTGCTCCATAAGGCGCACCGGACCTCCCTGCGTCCTATGGTCCGGTGCCTTATGGAGCGCAAAATAGTGTGTGTGTGTGTGCGCTGTTTAGGCAGAATAACCTTTCTAAATGTTCCTTACAACATAACAAATCTTTACCTTCTAAGACCACCTAAAAAGTGATCTAAACCCAGTTTCTGTAATGTTGGATGAGCTTTAACATGTTAGGCCCCATTCACACTGCGCGATTCGCAAATTGCGCGTTTGTCGTGCGCTTTGCATTTTGCGCGATATCGCGCAAAGGCTTGCATTGAGCAAGCGAGAATCGCGGCAAAGTCCGCTCCAAGACGGGTCCTGCTGTAGCGACACACGACCCGCGACAGCAGGACCCTTTGCCCCATTGCAAAGCATTGAAGAGCGATATCGCGGGAATTACCGCGCGATAAATCGCTCAATGTGAACGGGGCCTTAATGTAATTTCAAAAATGTTCAATGAGCCATGGAAGATCAATCCGTTTAGTGAAGGCACAATGCAGAACAGATTAAAGTCAATCTACTATAGGGCTGCAGCTAACGATTATTTTCATAATCTATTAGTTGGCCGATTATTAAGTTCGATTCATCGGATAAAAAAAAAAAAGGCTCCAGTGATTGACGACTAGTTTGTGTTAAGATTGTAGTCCATCACGGGAGCAAGCTTGGCGCGGTGGAAGTAAAAAAAAAAGTGTGGTGTGCAATATAGTACATTATACAGCGGCGCAGTGCAGAATACCAGCAGCTATAGAGGAATGTAGCAATAGTACATTATACTATAATGTACTATTGCTGGGATTTGTAGTCCTCTGTAGCTGGCGTTATTCTGCATTGCGCTGTATATAATGTATTATTGCTGGGATTTGTAGTCCTCTATAGCTGGTGGTATTCTCCATTGCGCTGTATAATGATTTATACTGCGCAATGCAGATTACCACTGACCAGTTATAGAGGAACAAATCCCAGCAAAAATACATTATACAGCGCAATGGAGAATACCACCAGCTATAGAGGAACAACAAGTCCCAGCAATAATACATTATACCGGGTGTTTAATATATTATTGCTGGGATTTGTTGTTCCTCTATAGCTGGTGGTGTTCTACAGTGTGCCGCTTCTTTTTTTAAAAACAGGAAACATTAAAACAGGTCCCCCTTACCTGTTTCTGAACCCTTGTAAGTCGCGGCTGCGTGCTCTGCGGGCGTGTGTCCGGCTTGTGTGGTGGGCGTGGCATACGTAGCGTGGGCGTGGCGTCCGCGGCGTGCGTAGCGTAACTCGTAGCTGTTCCACCATAGCACCCCTGTTCCACAACGGCACCCCCACACAACTAATCGCCTTTTTATGGAATAAAGTTCCAGAATTCCACCTACATGCAATGGAACGTTCGTATCGACAGTTGGAGGACACTCTATGGATGATATGCGATATAGTTGGGATATGTGGAGTACGCCAATTTCGTGCTATTAGGGTCCTAGTTGAAAATAGAATATGCATGACAACTGATCTGTATTCTTGTGGATATTCGTCCATAGAGACACTCGAGCGCCTTTTCAGGTGATAGCGGGAAGTCAAGTTTTGTAAATGCAATCAAAAGCTGAGATATGGAATTCCACGAATCTGTTACAAAACCAGAACACATGGGACAAGCTACCTATTTGGCCGCACTCCCGCCAGCACAGGGGGGAGGAAGCAAGAAGACTAGTTATTAGCATCCTAGTTCTTGTACTTACTAAATGTTTATTTGCTCCGATAGAGGATATTGTAGGTACCCCAATTTTTATTTTTTTTGTATACGTGAAGATCCTTATGTATTGCCGTAATCGGATGTAACCATTATTGTTGACAATGCAAACATTATATACTTCAATAAAAATCTAAAGTTCAATTCAAAAATGTTCAATCTTGTAAAATGATAAGACTTTTCATTAAATGCATCCCTGGCGATCCTGCCATACAGGCCCTTGTTCAGGCACTTCTGTTATGGGTGTCAAAGTGTCTCCCAGTTGTGCTCATGCATTGTTTCCCTGCAAGCAGCCATGCGGATGCACATTGACCAGACGTGGTCGACTATTATTACTATGGGAAGGCTGAACCAGAGCTATGATGTACAGCCGACACTGGAGCATGTGCATGTAGACAGGAAGTGGCTGGAGAAGATCTGCAGCAGTGAGATGCTAAAAATGGTTAAAGTGGTATTTTATAAAAAATGAGGGCTGCAGCCAACTAATCGATAATGAAAAGAGTTATCAACTCTTCTCATTATCGATTACTTGGCTCTCTCCTCTGCATTGGGAGGAGGGCACAGCAAGCAGTGGGCGGGTGCAATAGCTAGTCTGCTATTGGCTATTGCAAGTTAAAATGGCCAATAGCAGGCTGGTGATTGCACCAGCCCACTACCCGCTGTATTTACATTCAGCTGCCGTCTGCGGAATTTGGCACTGGCAGCCGTCATTCCTGGGCTGAAGCTATTCAAGCATCATGTGCTTACAGTACAATTATAAAAAAAAAAAAAAAATTATAAAAGGTGAGAGTCATTCGGTTTGGGCCTGACAAATTCTGGTGCTGGAGGTGCGTTGCAGTGCCATTCATTTCAATGGCACCCCCAAATGCACCACCCACAGTGTGATCGCCCGCACGGTACCGCAATGCTGCACGTTCCACTGTGCAGTAGCAGGCTGCGGGCCGATCGCGTGGGCGCTGTGCACACAGGAGACGTGGGCAGATCCGGGAGAGCGGTGTCTGCCCAGCTGGCCGAGGCACTGGTACGGTAATGACTTCTGCTAAGGATCTATGTGAGGGGAATGAGGTGTCTGCAAGGTGGGGGTCATGTCGCCATACTGTCAGATCTGTTTGGCCGACCTCTATGCCGATTGGCTTCCCGGCCAATCAGCATTGAGCCGGCCAAACAGAATAGAGCCGGCTTCCCGGGCAATCAAGAAGCCGGGCGGGGGGTAATGACACGCCACCTGGCTTCCTGATTGCCCGGGAAGCCAGCTCTATGCTACCGGAAGTACCGGTACTTGGTATCGGCGAGTACCGAAATATAAATATTGGTACTCGATACCGAAAAAACGGTATCGTTGCATCCCTAGTATTTTTTTTTTATCCGATTAATCGGAAAAATAATTGGCCAACTAATCGTTATGAAAATAATCATTTGTTGCAGCCCTATAAAAAAAAAATACTTAAAATTATCTGCTCAAACAGTGTCTGCAGCGAACTGCGTTTTTAATGGGCTCGGGGGGCCGGGGCCACATATAAGATATAAGATACAAGGATCAAGTTTTTATCTCTGTGCTTGCAGGTCCGCGTGAAGCCGGATAAGACCGGCGTGGTGACCGATGGGGTGAAACACTCGATGAATCCCTTCTGCGAGATTGCCGTGGAGGAAGCCGTCAGATTAAAGGAGAAGAAGATAGTCAGCGAAATCATCGCCATCAGCTGCGGCCCTCAGCAGTGCCAGGTAGGAAGTCTGGTCCCAGCCCCCGGGGGCCCCTGGGAACGTGTCTGCCGCTGATCCGAGACGGCTGTGTCTTCCAGCGCTATCTGTAGACATCCCTCTCAGCGCCCGCATGCTGGTTTTAGCTGCGGTGCCCAGCAGGGCTGCGGTTTTCTTGTGTCGTGATGTTTTGGAGGCCCTCGGTGAAATATTTGTTTGCTTTTCATGCAGTTTAAAATCATGACAACATACATTTCAATATATAAGCCCGTTTATGCCAGTATTTGTAAAGCCAAAACCTTCCTTTTTTTTTTTTTGTAGCTTTTTCTGTTGTTTTCTATGTCAATTTCCTGACCTGTTTTCTAGCTCCTCAGTTGACATAACAGCATCAATTACCACCTCGGTACCGGAGCAGTTTTTTTAATTTTGAGATACACATGCTAAAATCTGAATTGTTTTCGATAGGAAATGACATTAAATTCCCGATCAATTCTATATTTTCTGGAAGCAGAGGCCCTGGCTGTAGAATAAAAATATGGTAGCTGCGTTTTGTTTTATAAATATGAAGAAGTCACTCGCACTCCAGCGAAGTTCAGTCGATATTTTATTGACCTCTGTGGTGTCACAACATGGCGACCTTTCAGAACCCATTTGGTCCCTTCATCAGGCTAACAAGGCATCCGTGGTGGCTTGGCACCCACCCGATACTTGAGGATATTATCCGGTCAGGTGTGCGATGGGCTTCTTTTTTTATTATTGAACTGCATTGTTTTTTTTATGTCGCGTGATATTTGTGCAAATGTTTATCAATTCACTGTTTTTAGGAAATTCATGATGAATTTTAGTGCCCACAAACACAATATAATACCCATTTTTTTGGAGTTAAAAAATAAAATATGGGATGTCGTTGAGTAAATGGATACTACACATGTCGCATGTTATGCTTGTGCCGCCCCCCCGCCCCCCGGAATTATTGCTCTAAGTCTGACATTTGCACCAATACCCAACATGTGTGGCACAATTGTTGTTTACGTACATGTGCATGCCCTATGTGTATGTATGTTCTTGGCGATGGGATTGGTTCTAATTTTTGTTTTTTTACTTTTTTGTATGTTGTATTATTATATTTTTACTTTTTTTTTTTTTTCCACTCTTTGAAGCAAAATTATCAAAGTTCTCCCCTGAGACATTATTAGGCACATGTATATAATTAATTACACACCAGGAGTCCATTGGTGATGTGATCACCAGCCTTAAAGGATAACTATGAGGTGAGTGCTTTTCACTCACCTCATAGTTCTAGCCGACCTGTGGCAATGAGACTCAGTAGATCGGGAGGTGAGCGAACACATACCGGCATTCGCTTACCTCTGGATCCTATCACAGCTCTCTGCCGTGACAGGGGAGGGGCTGGATTCGCTGACTGGCGGAACGGACGTGGAGGGGGCGGGCACAGCTGGCTCTGCCTCTAGATAGGCAGAGCCAGCTGTCACTCGCGCAGCTGGGCGGATCCAGACATAATTGTCGGGATCAGCTTCAGCGTCTCAGTATACTGCGAGCAGTAGCTTGCGGTATACTGAGCTTAGGGTAACGGGAGGACGCTAGTTTGTGTCCTCCCGTTACCCTAAGGAGAACTATGGGAAAAAGCCCGAACCCCATAGTTCTCCCCTGTAAGGTTTATCTCCATGATCAGCAGATATTGTCTACATGTGTATACTTCGTGTGATTCCGCGTGGATTGCTGCGCGGTCAGAAGTCTCCAAGGTGTGAACCGATCACACTGTGTGTGCCATTTATTTTCTAATGGCACCCCAGTTGCGCCGGGTGGATCGCACGGTTACCCGCACGGCGTGTATCGCAAAAATAAAGGTACGTGTACCTTTTTTCTGTGATTGCCACGCGGATGTCACCCCATTGAAATCAATGGGGCCGCGCGGCAATCGCTGCCTGCATTGTGCAGGACAGTGCGTCCCGGTTGTCGTGTGGTGTAGTGCAGGTGTGAACCTAGCCTGAGCCAAATTTTGGGTACCCATTGGAGGGGAGCCTTACCAGAGCAAGTCAGCTCATTCAATCTCTATGGTCTTTGCTTTCTTTCGGAATGAAGGTTTGAGGTCCCAGCACCTCATCGGAGAGCTTACCAGCAGAACCCTCTAACTGATCATGAGGTTACCTTGCGCACCACCAACAAATAGCCATAACATGCTTTTGAAACCTTTCATTGAAGCAGACACTGCTGTGATTG